TAATATAATAATTGTAAGGGACTTCAACACAAACAAAAGCATTTCATAGTTTGTTTGTGTTGAAATAGACATAAAATAGACAACAGAAATTTACAGAAAAATTGCATTTAACAGCTACAGAATACTTCTCAATTGTACATGGAACATTCTTCAGAATAAATTTTATATTAGGCCACAAAACAAGTATTAACATATTTTAAAATATTGAAATCATATCACATATTTTCTCTGACCACAATGGTATATAACTAGAAAGAATTAACAGGAGAAGCCTGGTAACATTTACAAATACATGGAAATTAAACAACATGTTACTGAACAACTAATGGGCCAATAAAGAAATTTAAAGGAAAATTTTAAAATGTCTTGAGAAAAATGAAAATTGAAACACAATATACCAAAACATGGAATGCAGCATTAGCAGTCCTAAGAGGAACATTTATAGTGATAAACACCTATATTAAAAAAAGAAATATCTCAAATAAACAACCTAATGTTGCATCTCAAGGAACTAGGAAAATAAGAACAAACTAAACCTAAAATTAGTAGAAGAAAAAAATAATAAAAATCAGAGCATGAATCAACAAAATAGAGACTTAAAAAAAGATCAATAAAATGAAGAGCTGGTTTTTAAAACAAGTAAAATTGACAAGCTGTAAGCTAGACTAAGAAAAAAATGAGAAGATTCAAATAAATAAAATCAGACAGGAGATGTTACAGCTGATATCACTGAAATACAAAGAATCATAGAGACTACTATGAACAATTATATGCCAGTGAATTGGAAAACCTTGAAGAAATAGATAAATTCCTGGGCACATAAAGCCTTCCACTATTGAAATATGAAGAAATAAAAAGACTCAGCAGGCTTTAGGAAAGGAGATTGAATCAGCAGTTTAAGAGTCTCCCATCAAAGAAAAGCTCAGGACCTAATGGCTTCACCCCTTAATTCTATCAAACATTTAGTGAAGAACTAACACCAAGCCTTTTCAAACTACTTCACAAAGTTGGAGAGATTGGGAGTCTTCCAAACTGATCCCACAAGGCCAGCATCATCCTGATGCCAAAACCAGACAAGAACACAACCAGAAAAGAAAACTACAGACCAACATCCCTAAAGGACATAGATGCAGAATTTCTTAACAAACTCCTAGCAAACAAAATTCAATGGCAAATTTAAAAGATTATTCACCATAACCAAGCGGGAATCATCTCAGGTATGCAAGGATGGTTCAATATACACAAATCAATAAATACAATATACCACATTAACACAATAAAAGAAAAAATATATAATCATTTCAATAGATGCAGAAAAAACATTTGACAAAATTCAACACATGTCTTCTATCAACACATGATAAAAACGCTCAATGGATTAGGTATAGAAGGAATGTATCTGAACACAGTAAAGGCCATATACAGCAAACCCACAGCTTATGTCATACTGAATGGGGAAATATTTGAAGCTTTTATTCTAAGATTTGGAGAAAAAAAAAGGATGTCCACTTTAACCACTTCTATTTAACATAGTACTGGAAGTCCTAGCCAGAGCAAGTTCAGCAAAAGAAAGAAAGAAAGGGCATCCAAATTATAAAGGAGAAAGTTAAATTGTCCATGTTTGCTTTTGATGTGCTATTATATATTAAAAATCTTAAACATTGAATAAAAATCTGTTAGAACTAATAAACTAATTCAGTAAAGTTTCAGGTTTCAAAATCAACTTTCGAAAAACAGTAGCTTTTTTTTTTTTTTTTTTTTTTTAAGTTCTGGGATATATGTGCAGAACATGCTGTTTTGTTACATACATGGGCCATGGTGGTTTGCTGCACCTATCAACTCATCATCTAGGTTTTAAGCCTCACATGCACCAGGTATTTGTCCTAATGTTCCCTCCCTTCTTGCCCCCCATCTCCTGACAGGCCCCAGTGTGTGATGTTCCCCTCTGTGTCCATTTGTTTTCATTGTTCAAATCCCACTTATGAGTGAGAACATGTGGCATTTGCTTTTCTGTTCCTGTGTTAGTTTGCTGAGAATGATGGTTTCCAGCTTCATCCATGTCCCTGCAAAGAACACGAATTCATTCCTGTTTATGGCTGTATAGTATCCCATGGTGTATATGTGTCACATTTTCTTTTTATCCAGTCTATCACTGATGAGCATTTGGGTTTGTCCCAGGTCCTTGCTCAAAAAACAGTAGCATTTTTATACACCAATAGTAAACACTACTTTAAGCAAATTATTAAACAAATGACACTACTTAAGACAAGTGATCAAGTAATACCATGAGATTTAATGATGAAGACCTACTGCCAAGGCACTGGGGACACTGATGAATTAGTCATGGCTCCCACCATTGAGAATGTGATACTAGGCAACAAGCTTTGTGTCAAATAAATATATCTCTCTGTTATATATTTATTATATTTTAACCATAAGTCTTAATGATTTGATGAGATAACATTGAGAAAAAGTGAAATATGAGAGATTTTAGCATCATCATAACTAATGCTGCTGATCAGAGTTATTAAAGGTGTGGGCATTATTGCATACTTAATTAAAAAGGAGATCTCTAAACACAGTTGGCAAGCTTATAATATATGATATAATACAAAATCAAAGTTTGAGGAAGATCTACCTAATAAAGTAGATATTGTTTTGTCCCCCCAAAGAGAAGGGAAACATGATTTAAAACAAATAAAGCTTTTTGTAAGTCTCTTTTAATTTTTAATTCATGAAATAGAAAATTAATTTGCTTTTTGACAGAATTTTAAGGAATCTTTGTCAAGACTATAAAAATTGCTTTACACTGAAAATACTACATCTTCTATGGTGTTAGAGTGCCTTTGTGGTAATTTGCAAAATGTTAAAACACAGACACAAACATCCACCTAAGAGTATTAAAAATTGTTATAGTAAATCCTATAATTGTCATTATTACTATCAAAAAATAATAAATAAATAAATCTCAGCAAACTGACACAAGAACAGAAAATCAAACACTGCATGTTCTCACTCATAGGTGGGTGTTGAACAATGAGAACACATGGACACAGGGAGGGGAGCATCACACACTGGAATCTGTTGTGGAGGGCCAAGGGAGGGACAGCGGTGGGGTGGGGAGGTTGGGGAGGGATAACATAGGGAGAAATGCCAGATGTAGGTGACGAGGGGATGAAGGCAGCAAACCACATTGCCATGTGTGTACCTATGCAACAATCCTGCATGATCTGCACATGTACCCCAGAACCTAAAGTACAATTTAAAAAACAATAAAAATAATAATAAATAAATTATGTTGGGAAAACTGAATATCCACGTGCAGAAAAATGAAATTAGACTCATCTCTCATCATATACAAAAATTAACTTAAAACGGATTAAATACTTAAATGTAAGACTTGAAACTATGAAACTACTAGAAGAAAACATAGGAGAAACATTGTCTAGGCAAGGATTTTTTTGATAAAACCTCAAAAGCACAGGCAACAAACAAAATCAAAAATAGACAAATGTGATATCAATCTATATAAAAGGAAACAATAAACAGAATGAAGAAATAATTTACAGAATGGGAGAAAATATTTGCAATCTATGCATCTGACAATGGGTAAATATCAAAAATACATAAGGAACTTAGCTGAAATAAATAAACAAATAAATAACCTGGTTGAAAAATAGGCAAAATACCTGAATAGACATTTCGCAAAAGAAGACACACAAATGACCAATAAGTATATGAAAAAAAATGCTCAATATTACTAATCAGAGAAATGCAAATCAAAATCACAATGAGATATCACTTCTCCCTAGTTAGAATGCCCGTTATCAAAAAGACAAAGGATAAGTGTTGTCAGGGATGCAGTGAAAAGGGAGCTCTTATACACTGTTGGGGGAGCATTTAAATTAGTGCAGCCACTATGAAAAATGTTATAGAAGTTCCTCAGAAAATTAAAAATAGAATTATCATATGATACAGCAATTCCACTATGCAAAGGAATTCAAATCCTTATGTCAAAGAGATATCTGCACTCCCACATTTATTGTAACACCATTCACAATAGCCAAGATATTGAGTCAACCTAAGTGTCCATCAACAGATGAGTAGATAAAGAAAATGTAGTACATACACATAATGGAATACAATTTAGTCACAAAAAAGGGATTGAAATCCCATCATTTGTGATTACACAGATGAACCTGGAGATTATTATGCTAAATGAAACAAGCCAGGCACAGAAAGACAAATACCACGTGATCTCACTTATATGTGAAATCAAAAAATGTTGATCTCATAGAGTTAGAGAGTAAAATGGTAGTTATCAAAGGCTGGTGTAGTAAGACAGGAGGAGGGATGGGGGGTGTCAGCCAAGGGCTACATAATTACAGTTATATAGGAGGAATAAATTTCAAGAGACCTATTGTACAGCAAAGTGACTATAGTAAATGATGATATATTCTCTCAAAAAAATGTAGAGTGGATGTTATGTGCTCTCACCACAAAAATGATAACTGTGTGAGGTAATATATTTGTTAATTAGCTAGATTTAACCATTCCACAAATGTATATATACCTCGTAACATCATGTGAAACCCAATAAAAATATACACTATTATCTGTCAATTTAAAAAGATACATAAAAATTGAGCTTTAAAAACTCCTTTTAGAAATTTAATTTAAAATGATTAAACCCCCAAAAAGAAAAAGTTAAAGAATAGAGAGATATCACATTAAATCCATGCTTGCTGATCACTTACTGTAATTCTTAGTAGAGAATGCAGTCTGATTATCCAAAAGTAGGAAAAAAAATTAAGTTGTTTATGCTATTTTGGAGAATGTACTTAAGCAAACAGAATGTTCTGCATTTTTGTTGTTAGAATAACAATAAAGAAATCTATTATATACAGAATCAGATCTGAGGTATATATTTCTACAATTATACCCACAGTTAGTGTGTTAGGTCATTCTGACATTGCTATAAAGAAATACCCAAGACTGTGTAATTTATAAAGAACAGAGGTTTAATTAGCTCACAGGTCTGCAGGCCTTACAGGAAACATGGTGTTGGTATCTGTTTGGCTTCTAGAGAGACCTCAGGAAGCTTTCAATCATGGCAGAGGGTGAAGGAGAGCAGACACATCACATGGCAAAACCAGGAGCAGCAGAGAGTGAGGGTAGATGTGCCACACACTTTTAAACAACTGGATCTTGTGGGAACCCACTCACTATGGTGAGGACAGCATCAAGCCATAAGTGATCCACTCCTGTGACCCAAACACCTCCCACCAGGCTCCACCTTCAACATTGGGGATTACATTTCAGCATGAGATTTGGATGAGGACAAACATCCAAACTGTATCAGTCAGCTATTTAAATTTTTCAGAGATATTGTCTAAAGGAGGCTGTTGGGAAAGCAAGGTTTTCTCTTACAAAAAAAAAGGACTCCTTTACTGAAGTTTTTAAAGAAAGTATGTGGATGGTGAGATGGTCTAAAAGGAAAAGCCTAGAGGAAGCCAGGAAAAAGCAAGGCTATTCAGCCATAAAGAAAAAAGCCAAACAGCGGAGCCCTGTTACATACTGAATTTCTCACCCCAACCCCATCGCTAACCACCAAGGAAGGCCCTTTTGTCCCCAGCTAAGCCCCAGTCCCAGGCTTAACCACGTGATGGCTTTATTCAACTACTCTTGCTAATTTCAGTTTACTCTTTGTTTATATCAGTTTTAGCTTTATTGTTATATAAATATACAAAGTTTTTTTAACTTTAAGATCACAGATTACAATTAGGACAAAAGCTTAACACAAGAATTCTTTTTCTTTACAAGGTCTTACTGCTGAGAAGGTTCTATTATGCACAATGAGGTATACTGGCAACATATAAAGACTATGGATGATCTATCCCAAAAAGAAATAAAGCAAAACAGAAACAGAGATCAGCTCCATGCTAGTCATGCCATCATGAGTAAGACACATGAGCTCTGAAGCATCTTCATACTCACCCCCAGGAGAAAGCCCAGTGGTTGGTCTTTTGAGTCTCGAAGTCACTAATGCAGATGCCTTGTGAGCTACGCAGCATCAGCTTGAGAGACGAGCCTTATACCACCCAGCTTTCCTCCTTCTGAGCCCACATCCTGTTCTTCAGTTGCTATGAAGTAATTGCTTCTTCTTCATTATAAAATGAGATAACAGCAGCCTTGCCCTCATCTTAGCACCAGTGTAAAAATGACACCAACAAAATGTAGAAGAAAACGCATTGGGAACCAGAAACTTTAAAACAAAGACAAACCTGCCACCTCTAGGCTAAGTTCAGTCATTTATATCTAATTCAAAGGCAGTGTTGTGCGACTTCCCAAGTTCTGAAGTCAGGAAAATGGGCTGGTCTCTGCTGGAGGAGGCAATGAACCAGCCCGGGAAGGCCACAGACTCAAGGGTGGAGGTCCTACCAGTCTTGAGACGATAGAAAAGGAAGTGTTTCATGGGCTCGGGTTGGTCATACAGATCCATGATCTTCTGCTCCTGAAATGTGAGGACAAGCACCCATGAGAAGAAACAGAAGCTGTTTGAGATATTCAGTGTTATTCAAAATAATTCAATAAATATTCCAAAGTTCCAGAAAACCTTATCCATCAGAACTAGAGAAAAATGCATTTTAAAGGAGCAGCAGAATAAACATACATGAAATGTTACCTTCCAAGCCCTCACCCTTGGAAGTGGGTGTGGGAAGTTTACAAGGAAGAGTTTAAGGAACAAGCAGCCACACTTGAACAACAAGTTAGAACTCTTCATACACAAGAGGCTGAGGGAACCCTTCGGAAAAGGAAGAAGTTGGAAATTACCTCCCTTACCAATACCACAGCAGTGAGAGCCACTACCCTACAAGAACCACTGGTATGACAAAGGACAGCCAGGTTAGGCTATGAATTTCTGACTAATTGTCAAATATATGAGAAAGATAAACACGAATGAAAAAGACACAAAAGGGTCTAACAAATCAAAGGATTTGTGTCAAAGGAGGAAAATAAATAGAGCAATCAGAAAATGCCTTCTATATTGTATATAAAACTATATTCTATATGTCTGTATATTTGTATGTACATGCATTATGTATTTAGGTAAAATAAGTATTTCTAAATAAATTACATGTGTTCAAGATCTCAAGAGAGACACAGAAATGATTCGTAATTCAGCCACATTCCACTGTGAGTGGGAAGTTCTTCTCCCATAGGATTCCTTTACTCATTTAATGATTTCCAGTTAGTCTGATTCTTTGGGTGGCCAGAAACCTAGGACTCATTCTTGACATTTCTTTTCTTTTCTTTTCTTTTCTTTTCTTTTCTTTTTTAATTCCATAACATCTAACCCAGGAGCAAGGCCTATGGACTCTATTTCCAAATATTTCCTGAATCAGGTCACCTCTTGCACTCCACACACAGTGTCAACCCCAAACCAGGCCATCATTCTCTCACCTGGACTATTAGGGTGACCTTCTAAGTGTTCTACGTGAACTTACTCTATTCTCTAGTAATCATTCTCCACAAGGCTGGTAACCGAACTTTAAACTGAAGTAAATAAATAAGATTACGATACACTTTTGCATGATTTTCCATTATTATTAAAATGAAACTCCTCAGCAAAGCCCACAGGGTCTACACCACCCAGCTCTTATCTACCTGCTGCACTGCCCTCTTCCCACTCTCCTGAATGTTCATTCTGCCCCACCACATCTGTCTTCTTTTTTGCCACCCAGGGTTCTGGCACTTACTCTCCCTGCACCTCACACCACCCCCACATCTTCCCATGGCCAGCTTCTCCCCATCACTCGTGTCACCTCCTCGGGGAGAGCTTCACTGAACATCCCATCCCAGCCAAAATAGGTTTGGAATTTCCCCTCCCACTCATTGCAATCACATTCCTGAGTTACTTTCTTCATTAGTACCAATTGCTATCTAAACGTAGTGTATTTATTTATCATTCCCAGAATTATTGTTAGACTTGTTCATCACTGTATTCCTCAGCACAGAGGAAAGCCCCCAGCATTCTACTGAATAGAGATTTGCTGTTTAATAAATGGAAGAATGCTTCCTCATTTCAAGCTCCCACACCTCCTCCATCATCACCTTCAACTTCCTACCCACTGAGAAAATTGAAGTAATTAGAAGAAAACTTGTACAAACCACCCCAAAACATGGGCTCCCAGCCCACTGCACCCATACCCGCACCTTCCTGCTTGAGTAGGACAGAGTGACAGGTCCCATCTGCACTTGCAACTTAAGGACATCCCTCTAGCCATTCTCCCTGCTCTCTTGTGCTCCATCAATTTTGCTTGCTTTGCTCAGTCATTCCCATCAGCATATTTGCTGTCATTTTTACCATCTTAAGCAACATAACTTGTTTGCTTACCCACCACCACTGCCAGTTCCCCTTTGCAGAAAACTTCTTGCAATCACTGTCTATATTTACTGTCTCTGATTTCTTTCTTGTAATTCCTTTCTTTAAAATTACTCCATCCAACCTTTTGCCCCCACCACAGCAACAACACTGCTCCTACCAAGGTCCCCAAAGACCCACCCATTGCCAAATGCAATTTTGCAATTCTTAGTCCCCATCTGAGAACAAAGGCACAACATAAGGGTGACTTAGCTGACAGGACAAAGTAGAAAATGTCATTCTCAGTCCTGATCTTATTGGTCACACTCACAATCCTGTTTCCTCCACTTAAAATACCTCCAGAATCTGACCTGCTTCTCCCTATCTCTGCTGCTATCTCCTTGTCCATCAAATCATACCTCAATCACCTCAAAGTCTCCTGAAGGACTTTTGCCTTTGCCTGCCACAGTCTGCAATCAAAGAGCATCCAGAGCAATCATTTTTAGACCTAAGCCTCTTCACGCCATTCCTCTGTTCAAAACATTTTAATATTTCACATTTCACTCAAATTGCAAGGCTGAGTCCTTGCAAAGGACAACGAGGCTTTCATGTCTGCCTTTATCTCTCTGGACTCCTTCCTCGGTTCACTCTGCACTCCTTCCTCTGTTCACTCTGCACGCCTGTCCTCACTGGTTCTGAGACGTGCCCTCACCGGACACCTGCTGACTAACTTCTCTAGCTCTTTCTACTCCCTGCTAACATCTCACCTAGGCAAGGATGCCTACTGCACTGTTCACCACTGCAGCCTGACCCTGCCTGTGTTCCTGGTACTGCTGGTCTCTATCCTGCTCTAACCAGTTTTATTTTTCTAGGAGAAGTAAAGACCTCTAACACAGCACAAATATACCTACTATTACATTTATTGTTTGCCATTTTTCTCCTTTCACTAGAATCAAAGCCCTGGGTAATCAAGGCTCTTTGCCATTCTGTGCACAGTTATATCTCAAGCACCTCCACAGTGCTGGAGACCAGGAAGTGCCCGCACATTTGCTGAATTGAATTGGATTGGGTTGAATCAAATTGAATTAAACTGAAGTTTGTAAAACAAGAACAAACAGTCATTAAAAAAATAAAAGAACAAACCAGAGAGCTTGAAAATTAAAACAGTAAAGGTTTAAATTTCAAGAAATGCTTTTCAAGGATGATTTCCAGAGGAAACAACACTGAAAATGTAACCATGAGCTCGCAGAGCAAAGCAAGAAATTCTCCCAGCTGCAACACCAAAATTTTAAAAAGCAATGAAAGGATAGAAAGCATAAAAAATTAGATGGGATATTGAAGTAAGATCCATAACTTCCAACGATGGATGAATAGGAATTCCAAAAAGAAAATAAGGGTGAGAATATATGGCCAAGAATATATCAAAAGTTAAGGAAGACAGAGCAGTATGAAGAAGAAGGGACGAGAATGACCCCTGGATCAACCAAAGCCGCACACCGCTGCATCCTGCGCCCAGCGCCTACGTCCCTCCGCCATTGCCACCATGCCAAAGAGAAAGGCTGAAGAGGATGCTAAAGGAGATAAAGCCAAGGTGAAGGACATACCACATGGAAGATCCACAAGGTTGTCTGCTAAACCTGCTCCTCCAAAGCCAGAGCCCAGGCCTTAAAAGGCCCCTGCAAATAAGGGAGAGAAGGTACCCAAATGGGGAGAAGGGAAAAGCTGATACTGGTAACAAGGGGAATAACCCTGCAGAAAATGGAGATGCCAAAACAGACCAGGCACAGAAAGCTGAAGGTGCTGGAGATGCCAGGTGAAGTACGTGTATTTTTGATAACTGTGTATTTCTGGTGACTGTACAGTTTGAAATACTATTTTTTATCAAGTTTAATAAAAAGGCAGAATTTTGTTACACTTTTTAAAAAAGCTATGTTGTTACCACATAGAACACTTCATTGTTTTTTGTGGGGAAAGGGGCTTATGTCACTAGTAGAATGTCTCTGAAGCTGGATCGATGTGGGGAAAACACCTTTCCCTTCTAGTTTTGAGAGACTTCTTTTTGGCTCCCAGGAGGAGGGATTCTCTGACTTTGACACACATGGCCACCTTGGCACAAAAGCCTTGTGGTATGGAAAAACAAATTCATTTTTATGCCCTCTTCTCCCTTTCCATCTTTCAGCATAGACTTAACTCCCTTAAGCCCAGACATCTGTTAGGACCTGACCCCCAATAACTGGTTACCAGTGTGTCAATCAATCTGGACTTTCCAGTGATGCCACTAAGATGGTACTTGTCAAAAGAGCAGTGGTTCCATTTCTAGATTGTGGATCTTCAAATAAATTCTGCCATTTTCATTTCACTTCCTGAAAGTTAGGGTCGGCTCGTGAAAAGTTGTTAAACAACATGCTAAATGTGAAATGTCGACCTCACTCTAAACTTTCCCTGTTCAGAACATCAGATGAAGACTTCATTGGGTTTTATAGTGGCTTTCTGATTTTTGGTAGTCCACTGAAGAAGGGAGTTTGAAAGTAGTTTCATACTGTTAATGATTGTCTGCCCATATCCTGCCTGAAATACCATGATTGTTTATGGAAAGTATTTTTAATAAAGTTGGATACAGTTTGGCTTGGAAAAAAAAAAAAAGAAAGAAAGGAAGACAAGGACCTCAACTTCTGACAGCCAGGATAAAAAGAAAAGTCTATTGCATACACATAACTTAAAAGAAGCTGGGAATAAATACGCTTAGGAAGACAAGACTATTTCTTTTTTAATTCTAAACTTAGGTATTCAACCAAACACTTCTAAAAGAAAAGGCTTTTAAAATATTTTTCTTAGTTACTCACTTTTAGCAGCAATGTGGGCTGTTCTCCCACCTTCTCACAATACAGACACATTTCTGGATTCTGGATTCCCAAATAAATGGGATCCCCTTTGCCTTGCTCGAGAGCCTCTGCATACTTGCATGTGACAGCAGTGACAATGACTGTAAAGGTAAGAGGAGAGATGGTGTCAGTTTCCTTTTGAAGTCAGAGATTATTTGATTTAGAAGGCAGTATCTGTAAGTGGGTCTGGAAGAGAGCTGAAGAGTGTAATCCCAACTAGACCCACCAAATGGCCAACCGTCCTATTTCATTCATTTACTTATTCATTCATTCACACCATGTGCCAATCACTGCCCTAGTAAATGAGCAAATACAGAGAGCTACGCAAACAGCAGAGTCTGCTCCTGAGATTCTCATGCCTCTGCTTGAGCACATGGAGATGGGAAACTCCTACACCAAGCAGCTCCTCTGATTCTTGGAGAGCTCGGTCCTTTTTGCAAGTTTTTCTCAATGTGATGCTGAAATCTGCCTTCCTGTGGTATTCACCCATTTAGTCATTTTAGGACCCCCTGAAGTCATGCAGAACAAGTTAAGACGGGGCTTCAGGTGACTGAAAGCATCTTTCCTTTTCCCCGGGAGGCTCCTCCACCGTCTATGGCTTCTTCATCTTAGTGGAACACAAACTTCTCCCTGACTTCTCTTCCCAATTAGGTGTGAAATTCTCCCCCCTTCAGGTGGGCCCCATTGCAAAGTCACACTTTTACAAAAGGCTGGTGCCAGCTTTCCAGCCACACCAGTGCAAATGGTGGTGCAGGCACAGTGACCACTCACCTGGAGTCACACTGCTACTCCTTGGAAGTGATACAAGGGTCTGACCCTGAAGAGTCCACACTTGCTGATTCAAATCGTTAACATTTCCAGTCTTAGGTTGGGCTGCTAATTTTGGGATGGAGAAAACAAATGAAGAAATACTATAATCAAGGCTGCTTTACTAGACCCAAGGAGAAAAGTATCTAACCCAGGCCCTTTTGTGAGGAAGGTGTAAGGTTCGCATCCCCAAACTGGCAGCACTCACATCACCCATCAGCCCAGCCTTTCTTTCAAGTGAAGTTGTGAGCTCTGTTGAGGAGGGCAAGGGCTACCAAGGGAAGTCACTGGTTTAAGAGGGCAAACCATCAAGACAGAGGGCAATGAGCAGTCTCACAGAACCTGTGTGCCAAGGCCCAGCTATCCTCTTTTGTGCCTGTTCTGTGCTTGGCTCAATGCTGAGGACTGGAGCTGGAGTAGTGACTAAGCAATAGCCCCCCCTCCCCAGAAGCCCAGGGTCCAGTGGTAGGTGGGCAGCACCAGGTGGGAAGGTCAGTGCACTGAGAGGAGCAGAGAAGCCTGGGGCTTCCACAGGAGACAGCTGAGTGCAGAGGGCCTTGGCCTCCAGAGCCCCATCCCAACAGCACCTGCTTGTTGGATGGCCTTTCCTTCATCGCCAAGGTGTCCCAGAGTGCCTCTCATAGCGTGGTTGTCTCAGCACCTGTGAGGCAGACATAGGAGAGATGAAACATGGGAGATGTTTCCAAGACCTTCCAGGACACAAGCTCCTCGGGCCCTCATTCTAGACAGGGAGCTGGGAAACCTGGCCTGACACAAAGCTCTGGTCAGAAGTTCTGAGTCACATCTGGGACAAAACTTAAAGGAAGCATCAGCAAAGGGAGAGCAGGTAGAATTTTCCTCCACCCCGAAATCCAATTAGCATCATAGTGTCTCCCCTACGAGCGCAAAAGCCAAGCATAAAATTTGACCTCAAATAACTCACAGGCACCTGATGCCCATGTCTCCTTTTCTCTGAAGCCTCTACCCCTCCATCAGCATTGTTTTTGCCTAGGAACAGGAGAGGGTCCCATGCCAGAGCTGCTCTGCCAGCATCCCAGCAACTCCCCAGTGAGAAGCAGCCCCACACAGGACAAGGCATAGAGCCAGCCTGAAGTGGCCCTTCTCTTCATTGAGCCCCAAAGCACAGACAAGAGGAAAGGCTCCAGAGCGTGGAGGAGGAGCCAGCTATTAACTATACCTGGCAAAAAAAGGGCCTTTATTTACAGCCCAGGGGACAGAATCGTGGCTCCAGCAGCTTCCAAGGGCAGTGACAGGCTCTTAAGGAGCCTGGGTTATTTATCTGAGCAGAGAGGGAGGCCCCAGCTTCCTGGGTGGGGCATACGAAATCACAGAAATAGCACAGGTATGACCCATCTGGGCTCCCTGAGAAATAAGTCTTGAGCCAACCCACATAAATTCAACCACAAGGAAATGAGATTGATGACAGATCCTAGGTTTCTCAGAAAGGGGAGACTAAGGGAATTCCCCAGAGTTCGGCTCTTCTGCCATGTCATTCTGGGGCTAGGACTGGAAATGCCAGGCACCCTCATGTCAGGGAATCCATCTCCTGAGACTGGGAGCCTTGCCCTCTGCAGTCAGGCTACAGGCAACCTGTGAGAGCAAAATTAGCCGCATGTCTCAGATAAGATCCCTATGGCATTTCCCAAATACCCTACCTAAGGCTGCATGTGAATGGAGAGCCAGACAGTGGGGCTCCCCTACCTAATACTCTTTCAGCTCCATCAACATGGGGAGCCACAGGGACTATGTAGACTTGTCTTTTAACTGAGGAAAGCCTGGTCTCAGGTACCCCCAAAATGCAGTGGACTCCAGAGCTGCCTAAGGAAGTAAAGAGTTGGGCAGTGATTTCTCCCAAATCCGAGCCCCAGGTGCCAGTTTCTCCCCCACCCTTTGCCCTAGTAGTATGCAGGATATTTCTAGATTCCTGATCAGTGGTAATGGTTATTTTTATATCCTGTTTATACACCCCATCTTATCTGCTATAGTCAAGCCTAAAAAATTGCTGAGGTACAAGTTAGCTAGAGTGAAGTGAGTTTTAGGAGACAGACTTGAAGCACCAACAGCTTCAGGTTCACCTGTCTATAAGGAAAAAAAGTACAAAGAATGAGACAGAATCTTCTAGACAAGCTCATCCATGAGCCCCTCTTTCCAGCCCTGGAAACAGTCTCCTGACTCAACATCTCTTACTTTCCACCCCCATCTTCTGCTATTGGAAGAACACAATCCTTTCCTGCCGTGGCCCAATCCTATCACTTTAGGCTTATGGTGTGACCCTAGGAGAGGGTGTGGTAATGTCAGGTGCACCTTTGTTCAAAGTCAGCCTGAGCCACTGCCACCTCACTTGCATCTCCTCTGCCCACTTAAATATCCCCTCCACTATGCATCAGTCAACATATTCCCTTTCTTGGGATGCTCACCACAAAACAGCATGCAAAATCCCCATTATTTGACCCCCGAAAATCCCTTAAGCCTGAGTTTCCAATGGAGAGCTCTCTGAAAGCAGAATCCATGCTAGGATTGCAAACAAAGGGAATTGAATAAAAGGACCTGGGTACATGCATGTGGGAAGGCCAAAGAAGATTAAGGGATTGCTGTGGTATCCCGGATAATAACAACTACAGGAAAGAAACAAAAGGGAACAAAATAACCTAGGGTCTCAAAGGAGGGCTTTTGTAGGACTTATCTCCAGATATGAGTCAGGGATGGGGGGGTTCTCAGCAAAATGATGCTCAGACCTCTGAAAAGAGAGTGCAGTCTGGTGGATGCTTGGTGTGTGAAGGTGGAGGGGAGGGGTCAACAAGAAGATGCTCAGAGGATCCAAGGAACACAACTCAAACAGCTGAATTTTCTTTGATTCAAAAGCCTGTGGGTATAGCCAGAACTTCCCATGCCCAGATGAAGGTTGCAAAAACCTATATAATAGGCTGACATGTGTCCTTTTCAGCCTCAGCCTTCTATTCCACTTGGTCCTGACCCTTCAACAGCTTCCAAGCACTCAGAGAATCCAGCCCTTCCTAGAATTCCCAGCACTCAGCAACCATCCTGAAGTCCCCAGTTTAATTGTTAGTGTGAATAAGTGCCAGAGAAACTGCAGGGAATAGGAGTGATGATGATAACAGGGGAGAACCGAATCACCACGGCTGATCAGTAAAGAGCAGAGAGCACATCTACTGAAGAAATGGCCCAGGACTTTTATCCAAAAGTGGAAGGGACAGGTGTTATGATTACATGATACCCTGGCTGTACTTCAGAAAACCATCAATATTGATTCTGGTTACAAAAAGTAAAGGACAGAGTGTTGCTATATTTTATTTATTATCATTGATTGTTTTATTTACTATCAATGATTTACTATCATAAGGAACAATGACAATGATGTTTATCAGTAAGTGTGGCTTGAATTTAATTACCATAAGTACTGACAAGGCCAAATTTCCCAGTTATGAAAATGATTGTAAGAAAACACTTAGTCCAGATTCTAGTTTCCAAGCTTTATGACACTGTCAATCTACATTCATTTGGTAATAAGCCCTGCTAGCTAGTTTGTTCTCTTAACATGCTCATGACCTTATTAAGTTGAGGGAACATCAGTGAAATGCAGGTGGGGTAAGAGAACTTGATTATTAACCCAGTACAATCTCTATAATCTGTTGTTAGATGCTCAATCTCTACAACACCTTATTCATGAAACCAGGCAGACAATCATAGCAAAGCAGAGGGAGCCATATGGAGCAGTAAAAGTTATCAGTCCCTACCTTTGCCAACCATAAAAAATCAACTTTGTAGTAGAACTAAACTCAGAATCTATAACCCCAATTCCAAATCCAGACCTCTCTGTTGGAGTCATAGGTCTTCCTTGGGGGCTCTACAGGGGGCCAAAGCCATGTGGCTTATGACCTATCGAGGGCTCCCTACAAGTAGGCTGGCAATCTGGCCTGAGGATTGCCACTGGAAAGAAGTTGGCATTCACTTCAGTTAAACTGGTGGGGCAACATGGTGTGTACCATGAACTACAGAGACCAGTGTAGAGTAATTTGTACTCCAGTAGACTTGTGAAAATGCCAGGGAAACTCTTGGCATAGCCTCTGTCTAAAGCCTTTACCCAATGTAGATGGAATGATGTGCTTGGACATGGCCCAAAGCCTCTGCTCCTCCACATAGCCCAAGCCCATTGAAGACTTGCTTCCTGTGAGCTAATCCATTACATCTTCCTGAAGCTGGTTTCCACAAAATCCCAGACTTTAGCACATGGGCCAACATGCAATTTAACAGCTTCCTTTCCTCATGTGAAAATGAAGGACAGAGTAACAAAAATAACCCCAAAGCTACTCAATAAAGTGGCAGTAATAAATAGAAACGTTAAAAGAGTAAAGAAAAAAGAACCAAACCATATAGGACTATTGTAAAGGTATATTTCTCTAAATTTAAAACAAGTATTGGTTAAATTGTCATTTATGTGCAACAACAACACAGAACTAAGACAATAAAAAGCCTAGATCAGACAGCCTATAGTGCAACACTTAAGGAAGGGGTCTAGGTTCAATGCCTAGAGTTTGAAATTCCTGGACAAAGAGCTAAATGACAGAGAACCCTTAGCCTTCTTTGCCCCAAATCATACAAATGCAAAATCCATGAAAAAAGAGGATGATAAATTGAATGTCATCCACATTTTAGAATTTCGGACAAAACACATCATGAAATGAATTTTAAAAGACAGACTATCCAAGAGAAAACATTTGCAACACATCTAACAAATAATATCCAAAGTTTGTAAATAATTCTTACTAAGAAATAGGAAAAGTGCAATTAATTCCACAGAAAAATGAGCAATTGTCACAAAAAGTATTTTACTAAGTAGAAAATATAAGTGTCCAATAAATGTAAGTAGTTATAGTAAACCACACTGGTAATTAGCAAGATGCAAATCAAAGCAATACTGAGATTCTCAGGAAGGCACAGATTAAAAAGATGGTAGGCAATACTGTGAAGAAATAGATTCATTCACCACATGGATGGCTGCGTGAATCATTCATTGCAGACTTTTTGGAAAGAAATTTTGCAGAGGCGATTAAACATTTTAATGGGTGTACCCTTGATCCCATACCTGTACTTATAAGAGTCTATCAATTAAGTTATTTTCTGAAAAATTCTATTCAAAGTGGCTAAAACAATAAAAATATTTACTAGGTTACATAATTGGAAGTCCAGAATTATTGATTATCCGAGTTGCTGATCTGATAATTCTATGAGGTCAGCAAGGGTCAGCATTTTTTTTAATTCTCTCTGGCCTTAAGTTTAATTCTTAACTCAAGGTCAGGTTTCTCCAAGGCCATAAGATGGCTGCCCGTGTCAATCAAAACTGTGTGCTCAGTCATTCACATCTTGTAGAAAGAAAGGAATGTCTCTCCTACAACTATCAAAGTCTTTCTGGTCTGTTTGAGCCAACTTGGGAGTCATGCTGTGGCAGTCGGGGTCCTAACAAAAAACAGATGACACATTCAAATTTGGCAATTGGAGGTAAATGTAATGAAGGAGTTATTTATAAAGATAGGGGTAGAGTACAGGAAAATCCCAAGGCATAGTACAGAACCTCAGGCTACTAAAAGTGGGGTATACCTCTGGCCACACCTA